GCGGACTACTTAAATTAGACAATGACTAAAGTTGTATGAGTGGCTAGTTGTACACTCTTCCCATGGTTGCCCTCTGTAGTTGTAATGCAACCATTAGCCAAATATACTATCAATAAAATCCTGGGTCGCAAGTACTTACCTTAATATTTAAAAAAAAAAATATAAATAGTTAAATTAGCTAAGCTTTAAATTATTTAAATCTTTGAAAAACACTAGCACACCCTATTATGGGCAAACATCAGCCGGAAAGGCTGAGAATGAATTTTATTTGAATTTTATTTGGTAGTATTGTGAGTACATGAAAATGTAGGAATAATAGATAGAGATTAATAGCACTGAAACAATAAACATCCTGAGAGTTAGCAACAGATATTGTACTGAGAGTCACTGTAACAGAGCAAGTAGGAATTAGATAGGCAAAGTTAGATAGATTATCAGCCGGTGGTTCCCACCTGCCGCAGCAAGCCGGCTGTTAAATAACAGAATCAGGTGACTGTTCCAAGAGGTGGGTAGAGTTTGTCATGAATATAGCTGGTTTGCGAGATGTCGCTTGTAGTACTAGGATGCTATTATATTTACAGTATTGAGTGTGAATCATGTGCAAGACATGTTATTACACTCATTCTTTTATTATTATTATTATTATTATTATTTTTTTTTTTTTTTTAATTATTAATATTATTATTATTATTGTCACAGCTATGGTGTTGGTCAATTTACTGTGCGTTGTGTTACCTCTTCTAATCATTTGTGAAGAGTGCTATAGAGTATCCTTGTTTTGGTTGACTTGTTTGCTTGTGTGCATTAGTGTCGGTTTTCCTCTTCAGCTTGTTGTCCCCCTCTTTTATGTATATGTATATATGTTATACTCTTTTTTTTTTTTTATTAATTAGTTGTTATTGTAATATGTGTGTTCTTTTTTTTTTTTTTTTATTATGTGCTGTTTGCTGACTGTGTTGGGTTCCTCTTCTTTTTTTTTTTTTTTTTATGTATATGTGCATGTGTGGTTATTATTTACTTGTTTTGTATATCATTTATTGTTTTTCAATTCAATTGTTTGTTAGCATTGCTGGTTGTGCGTCACGTATGTGTACTATATCTGCATGTAAGTCTTTTTTTTTTTTTTTTTTTTTTTGCATGTATGTGATCGCTGTCAGGATGTCCGAATGTGTAGGCACTGATTGGCTGAGTTGGTCCAAGGTTGTGATAGGGTCAATCAGTATATGCTTTGGTGAGGATTGTTGCAATTGTTGCAGGATGCTGCAAATGTATCTGTAAAAAGATTCAGAGTCCTAGTGACCAATCTTTTGTATTAGGACGAGCTGCACACCTTGTATGACAAGCTCTGTGATGCCTCCTGCACGAAAGCTGTGTCCAGCCAAGTTCTCATTTGGGAGTAGTTGCTTGAGTTTTGTAATAAACCAGCATTTGGTGGCCCATGTGCCATCTGCTTTGACGAATAAAAGATTGCTGTTTTTGGCATATAGTGCTTGTGTACAGACCCTTATATATGTTTTCACAGCACACACAGGGCACAGGGTATCATTAGTTGGGTGTATGATGAGAGATGCATGAGTGGTGGACTTATGCTTCTTGGTTCTTGCTAGCTGGATCATCACGAAGGCATTGCATCCAGATAATTCAAACTTTACTGCAGCCATGGTTGGAACCTTGTTTATGTCTGAATGGCTGTTGGGCAAGAGCTCTCCTAAACGTGTCAGACCGTAAAAGGCTGACAGAGCAATAGCCCAAAATAAAATGTTTACTTCGTTGTGTGTGCTAAGTTGTTGTTGAATTCATAAAAAGTGTTGTCGGGTAATATGAGATTTTTAATTAATGGGCTTGTGGGTGTGTATAGCTTCGATGGTTTTCAAAAGTTGCATAACCAGAGGGTCGGAGTAGATGGGGCTCCAGTTGTAGTAGTTTCTTGAGTGATGGTATTTCAATGCCAAAAGATAGGTCATGATAGTAGGTAGTGCTGCGGACTTATGAAGCAAAGTAATATAATTTATCAATGAGTCTTGTGATACTGGCTATACAGATCCATCCTGATTGATCCACTGATTGGCTATGGCAAGGGTTTCGTATTGCTTGATGATAGCTTCGTATGCTTTGTTGTGTGGTTGCTTTACATCGAGAAGTTGTGCTGCTTGGGCATCTAGTGATAGTCTTGAACCAAAGGTTGGGGGGTTGCATTATTGGAGTGAAGGGTTGTGGCTTGGGGTTGATTCATCGATGTGTCGCCTATTGTTTCAAAGATGAAATAAGAGATATAAATTTTTTGTATAAGTTGGGGATGTTTGGATGAAGGTAACATGCACTGTGGTTGTAAGCAATAAATTCTCAATGGCCATTTCGAGACAATAAGTCTGCTTCTTGGTTGTGAATGCCTGGGATGTGTTCAAGTTTAATGGCAAAATTGCTATGCACTTGTACTGTGTAAAGTTGGACTATCAGGTCATTGATGTTTGGGTTTTTGCAATATCTAGCATAGTATGCCTCTGCGTTAGATAAATTGTCTGTTCAAATTATGAGCTTTTTCCTTTGCCATAATGAAGTGAAGGTCCGAGCTGCAATTAACGTAGTTAGAAGCTCACAAGCCTGGATGTTTATTGTGTTTAAGTTAATGTTGTTTGACCAGAAGAAAGCTATAAAGTAGATTTGAAAGACGGCTTCTCCACTAATATTTGATGCATCTGTAAAAAGATTGAAAGTAGTTGGTTGTGTCCACTCTAGATCTTGTAGCAAGTAAATACCAGGCCATTCCTTGAGTACTGAGGTCTATCATTGAAGGTCTGATTGCATTGGTCTAGTTATGCGAAAGTGAAATTTTGGGTTTTTTGAGATCTCTTGGGCTTTGATAAAGCGTTGAATAAAGGAGCGACCTTGTGGGATGATTTGACATGCCCAAACTAATGATCTTACTATAGATTGCAGATCTTTTCGATAACACCATCTCCTGTGCTACCATTGAGAAGTTAGTGTCGTTAATTGTTTTAGCTTATCAATCGGTATTGACACGAGTAGGGTGTCCGTATTTAATGTTATGCCGAGAAAAGTGACACTTGTATGAGGGCCTTCCATTTTTTCATGCTTGTAGGATATGTTTAAAATGTTGAGGATATGAATAAACTGCTGTAACTCCCACTTGCTATCTGTAGGTGATATGATAAGGAAGTCATCTACATAGTGAATGATTGCGGTGATGCCTTGGTGGCATGTAATCCATGCGAGAAGGTCAGTGAAATGGCAAAATATTCCACCAGAAGCACAGTTTCCGAATGCCAATACTTTGTCAAAATAGAAATCATCTCCATTACGAAAGCCTTGCAGTATCTGATCTACAGGATGGACAGTAAGAATGTGATATGTGTCTTTGATGTCTATCTTCGACAGGGTGCAGCCTTTTCCAAATTTGTTAATCCAGCAGATAGCATGATTCACATTTTCATATTTGGTAGCAAATTCCAACTTGTCGATTCTGTCATTAATGCTGTGGTGAAGAGGAGATGACAGATGAGAGATTACATGATATGCTTGAGGAAATGTGTTCTTCTTTTTAATGAGACTGCATGGGTTGACTTGAAACCAGTCACATGGTGGGCTCTGGATATGAAAAGGGCTGCATATGCATTTGTTTGTTAACTCATTTGAGATATAAGATGTAAATGCATTAGGAGCGATGTTTATTGACAAAAGGTTATCTTGTATAGTTCTTGACCATTCACCCTTAAAATTGAATCAGAAACCCTCTTTAATGCCATTGATAATGTACTCAACAAATGGACGATTTGGGTGTGATTTTGGCAAAAGTTGAAGTGCCTGTAAGTTGATTGGGGTCTGAATATTAAAATGTGCAGGGTCTAACTGCTTAAGAAGGTTTAATTCTTGCACAGTCATTTGAAGTTTGGGTGGTAGGCTGGCAGTTAATGTTTCATTAACAGATTGCATAACAGGTGTTTCTTGTGAAGTAATATTCCGAGAAAGGTTAAACTGTACTTGGTGTCTAAGAATTGCTATATTCATTCGAGGCTTAGATCCTAAGTAAAGTGAAATGAACTGGTAAGTAGACATTACTTTGTCTTCTGTGTATGTATGTCTATATATATTGTAATATGTGTAGGTGTTGTGCTTATGTTGTTCAGTCTGTATGTAATTCTAATGCTTTTTGTTGCCTTTGTAGCATTGTTGTTGTAAAAACACAGCTGTTGGTTTAGATTATATATATAGACTTTTTTTTTTTGATTTAATGTTGTATATTGCATCGTTGTCAGGATATGGTCTGACTAGATGCCTGTTAGCGTCAATGCACGATTGTTATTTATATAAAGTAAGATATGTTATATGTGGTATAGTGTTTCTGTATTTGTAGCATATATCTGCTTTCATTTTCTTTTTTTCTCCCTCCATTTTTTTTTATATAAGTGCATGTCAGCTGCTATCATTCGTCTGTTTTTTTTTTTTTTTTGTGTTATATATAAATATCTATATATAGCCTCTGCACTGATGTTGTAAAAGCTTCTTTTATTTATTTATTTTATATATATATATATATATATTTTTTTTTTTTGTTGTTTGGCTCTAAGATTCACTTGACGGGATTTTGGTTTGGGTTGTTCATCTGTCTAGGAGGCAGCGATTTGTTAAGAAAACACTGCTGTGATAGGTGGTTGGTCTTTTTGCATATTATGCAGGCATGTATCTGAATGCAATTGTTTTCATCTGAGCATCCTTTTCGATTCCAGTTGATGCAAATTTGTCTGCCATCATGCCAGGTGATGTCAGACCTAAAAGCTTGCGGTGTAATGCTGTTGCGATGCTGTTTTGTTGTTGTGACATTGAAATTGTCACCTTCGGCTTCAATGCTACGATCAAGCAAGGTTGAATCATAGTTTGTTGTTAGACCTAATTTTCAGTCTTCATTGTATGCAATGATAGTTGAGAACTCTTGTTTGACACATAACATGTTGATATGATCACGGTAGGCATTGAATTCTTGTTCTCTGATATCATAGATTATCAGAACTGCCTCCATATATGTTCGAAATGCCGGAAGCCATTCAGATATATTGTTAAATCTAAGGATGCAGTTTCGTTTGCGAACAGCAATGATACCCCCTTCAGATGTTTGCAATGTTTGTTCTTCATCATTGTTTTTGAGACTAGTTTTCAAATTTGCATAAGCAAACTTGTGCAAGTCAACATAATTGCCAACTGCTATAGTTTTCCATAAGTGAGGTGGCAAATTTGGTTTGGATAGTAAGGCCATATAAAGTGATATTTTTGGTTCTTATAACATTAAACTTTTATTTTGACCCGCCAACCTGGCTTTTTATTTTTAAATTAAAAAATTTTATTATTTAAAAATATTAGTTTCAAAATAGTAACCTGGTACCTGGCAAAAAATTTTAATAATAAAAAAATTTTTAGCTAAATATTTTTATTTCTACTAATTTTAAATAATATATAAATGCTTATTCTATAAATTTTATAAATAAGATAGCTGCACAATGCAGTTATACTAAAAATCAAGAATGAAAGCATATAGTTATGAGTAAAACAATAAAGGTTTTTAGTAGTAATTATGATCTGTCTGAATGTCATGCATCTGCTTGAAGTTAAACTGAAATTAGCTCTTGAAATTAAATCTTTTTGCATGTGTTAATTAGCAAGTTTAACTGCAGATTGTGAGGCCCGGAAATCGTAACTTGAAAGACACTATGCCAACTCACATTACCCGATCACGATGATCTTTTACCTAAAATAGAGTTGCCGATGATATATCATGACTTTCAAATTCTTTTTCAAATTTCTGAAATACACTTTTTATGTAACTATCATCCCTTAAACTAATAGATAGGAATGCTTAAAATCTTTTTAATCATTACATTTAATTCATACTGTAGAGCATTGCATTTAGTACCCTTAGAATAATACTTCCTGTATTAAGACCTGGGCATATTTCAATATTATCAGTGAAAATCCTAACTTATACCCGAATATCAATTAGGCTTGCAAAACTAGTAATGTTCAACAAAACCAAATCTATACCTAAAGATCAGTTCAAAATACTTCCACTAAATTGTACCCTCCTCTTCGCACAGTATCTTTCCGAGTACAAATCACATTGAATATCGTGTTTTTAATTTATACTGCAAATACTGGATGCAGAGCTCTACAGTAATAATTTTGGCCCATGATAACATAATTCAATCCTGAAACTATATATAAACCAATTTTTGTGCAATCAAACAGTGCCAATTTTACAATTAATATTAAAAAAAAGTCAACTTTTATGCAAATAAGAACATTCTGTGATGGTGAATATGTTTCTAATTAAGGTTTACGAATCTGTATACAATCTACTTTATCTTCAAATCATCGACTGTGCTAGTTTACTATTGGACTTAGCCTCAGAAAAATTATGATATTAGTAATTAAAACATATTAAATTGGTGCATCAATAATATTCATAATACATGTGAGTGTGGTAACAGTAGGGTCAGAGTAATACTACCTATACTAAATATAACTATCTTTTATAACCAACTCTAATAAGTAAGGCGCTTCAACCAAGGCGTGTATAAGTTTGGTCAGTAATTAGGGTTCTTTATTCAACAAGTCTTGCTGCGGAGTTACAGGATTCTCAAAGGATTTTTTTAAAATAAGTACACTATATTTTACCCTAATAATATAGGAAATTAGAGTACTATATAGGGGCCTGCAAATTGCCTATTTTTGAGGCCCGGCCCGGCCCGCAATTAGGGTTAAAAATTTTTTTTAGGCCCGG